TTGAGCATACATGCTGGTGGGCAGCGAGGTAGCTCGCGACGCCATTTTGTGTGTTGACTCATCACGGGAATAGCGGCATTCCTAACATTTTGGAATGCTCCTTAACGGTTATAATCCCAGGCTAGGTCCTGTTTAGGGGCAGATGGACATTATAAGCAGGGTTTCTGTTTTGCAAGACAGAGCAATAGCAGATGGGCCACGCAATCCCGGAGTTCTTGCCATTTGAGATATGAATACTTTAACTTAAAAGGCAGGCATCCTGAGAAACATAATTTCAACATAATTTGCGAAAAAAGACTAACCTTATCAGGTTGATTTTCGACGCTGGTTCCCTAGGTCGTCGTCAAACGTGAGTAAATGTGCAACTAGGATTTCAAGCATGCTAAAACAATCAATAATCATGGGTGTGAGCGCTAATTATTGGCTGCATTTTGCGTCAATCTGGATCGATCGGTCGGTCGCACCAGATGCATATCTTTTTTCAGCACTTTTGAAATTTTCATTGTTCTTTGCACATGTACTCACCTCTGATGACCATCTGGGAAAAATTTAATCAATAGAGTTACTTTTCTCCCCTAAAGAACGTATTTGCCCTCAGACTACAAACTAAATTTTGAAGGAAACAGCACAGAGCGTGCACACACCCAGCCGTGTATGCCTTCAGATAGGTCAGCAAAATTTAGCTGGTTCTATGCAAGTGTTTTCGATTTGTTGGCAGGAGGGGTGGGTAAGTACAGCTAATTTGGCACTCAAAGTCTGTGTGCACTAGACCTAAGAGGTAACTCGCTAGTGGCCAGAGGGGAGGGAGAGGGAAGCGAGTGAGGCGTCAAGCATCACATGTCGGAAGTAGGCATGGGTTCTCGCAATGTTGAATACGGCGCTGGATTCAGAACGCCAATATGGCCTCAATTCGCACGTCTGCGGCTGAATTTTTATTGCACCACGCAGCACAGGTGCGAACTAAGTACCTCTTGTGCAAATTGGTTGTTAGGCTCCAATGGTACACGCGGCATACGAGTAGCCTACTCCATTTTTGTGAAATGGCAATGTGTTTTGTGTGACATAGGTCGTAGGCGCTGCAAGCGTGGACGGACTGCTCTCGCCTCTGTTAGCACCGCTTGATTGAAGGGCTCGAGCAATCGATTTGTGAACATGAATGGGAAAAGGCAGTGAACTCGACTGTTTAGGCGAATTTTCCTCACTGTAATAAGCAGACTGCTTAACGCATAAAGTGTTAACATTGAAATTTGAGGGAGTGGTTTAGCACACAGTTGAGATTGTTTATTTTGTTCATTGGATTGACTTGAGACGCAGGCGGGCCAATGTAGGCCAAATACAACATTTCTTGCTATGCAAGGAATTTCCCACGGCATTAAACGCTGCAGAACAAAACGTCTTATTTGTGCATGTTGTACTACAAAAGATCATTAAATTAAGCCAGAAAAGTTTTAACTCGGTAAAGAAGACATATGATCGAACACCGGAACATTTTGTATTTTATTCTGAGCTTTCGGGCTCCTGCAGGAGTCCAGCGTCAGAGATGGAAAAACAGTAACAAATTGGGTGGCTACTTGTGGCGTGTGTATACAACAACTAAAAGTTGAACGTGTAGAAAATCAATAACTGTGTGTTTGTGCCGCCGACTCGCCACAGTGGACTATGTTAGCCTATGCCAGTAGGCGAGATCGGCATGTCGGGTGGGAATATTTACAGAAATAAAATCTTCAACGAAAACAAGCAACATTTA